GGTCTTGAATCGGGTTTTTGGATCCATTTTGAAAATCCGGCCTAAGACAACAGACTTGAGATCTTCGACTCTTAATCTTGGTCGTTTCATGATATTTTGGATTGATTTCTTCATCATAAATAGACGAGGATACCATCACAGTCATTTTGTGATAAAAATCTCTCAATTTGGTTGCTGAATCATCGCTTTGTTAATTGGGGAAGTCACCGGAAAGCAGAATTTCGGTCGCTGGAAAACTTGCCCTTTTGTGTATTCGAAATACGACATCCTTCGGTCATGCATCTTGTGTAAATTTTACCCCAAATCAAAGCTCTCTGAATTGTGGTCGCAATGGACACACATTTGAGGTAATCCGATATCGGGGCTTCGAGATACGACCACTCCAATGGGGGGATGTTCCTTTTTGAAAATTCTGCAACACATGAGTTTTCGAATCGAACTTCTCTATAGAAATTCTCTCGTTTCGGGCATTGTCACGAGTCGTGTCATATACCAAAACGAGCGTCTTGATGAGCTCTATCACATACCAAAATTTGAGCTTAATTGGCCCCCAGATGAGAGAGTTATGATCTTCATAAGGCAATCCCGAAATCCAATGGCCCAGTTTCCTTAAATGGAAACTGGTTCATCAATGCTACACCAAAATAGCGTAAAACCCACCCATTTTTGGTAAGTTAGGCCCAGAATGGTCTAGAAAGGTTCAAATGAGCCAAAAATTGGTATTTGGGGGTTTTTGGGCATTCTGGATCTAATGGTGGTGGTCTGATGCTCATCAGAATCCTCGACAATAGGCCTTAGATATTGGGTATTTTTCAGCATGATAAGAACTAGAATTGTGAACCAAATTTCTTTCTGATCTGCTTTAACTCTGTCGGATTGGGACAAAACTTGACAGGTGTCCTTAGGGCATCAAATACTACCCTCTCATGCTTTTTGGGACCGATCCGACACCTTTCCAATTCCATCAAAAAATTAAGCTTTTTTGAGAAGAGCTTCCATAGCCCATAGGCATTTTTGATACCGTTGGGCTAGGTTGCGACTGGCTTCTCCTTTATTCGTACCGAGGATACATGTGTGTTGAAAAATACCCTACAACAGCTTGCCCCGCCAAATGTTGTTTTTCGAGAGAAGCAAGAAGGGCAACATTTGGAACGAAATTGGTCCTTCAACTTTCGTTTTCTTCTCGATCACCGGCACCAACACGACCTTTGAAAGGAAATCGTGCCGAGCTTCTTTGCTAGGGGGTGACCAAGGTGGATTCGATTCTAACGATTGGGGGCCTTGCTTAAGGGCTTGTAGACCTAGTACCGTTAGAACTTTTGAGGGAGGTTGATGGTTAGGAGCCCTTTTTAAGGGCTTGGAGATCCAACTCATCAAAGTTTGAAGTTGATCTACGAGTGGGGTGCCTTGCTTCAGGGCTTTCTTCCCACTTTAGCAGTTCTTTTTATGTCAACAACTGGGGGCCTTGCTTAAGGGCTTCTAAACCCTGTCTTGTTAGAATCAGGATTTGTGTGGCAGTTAAGGGCCTTGCTTAAGGGCTTCCTTCCCAATTTGTCAGGCTTTTGGTTTCGATCTTCTGGTGTGGGTCTTTCTTGAGGGCTTTCTTCCCACTTCAGGAGACGTTTGTGCTTTGGATAGACAGTCGAGGGCCCTTAAGGGGGCGTATGAGCTGCTTCATCAGGGTTTGGAAGTGTTTGACAGGCGGGGTGCCTCTTGGAGCCCCAATCTACCGGATTCAGTCAGGGGCTTTTTGTTGGCCATCTTGAAAATTTTGAACCATCAACAGCTGGGGATCTTGATGGGACGGCCTCTTCGGGGCTTGAACCCCAATCTATTGGACTTAGTCAGGGACTTTTTGTTGGCCATCCTGAAAACTCGAAACCATCAACAATTGGGAACCTTAATAAGGCTGTTACCCTTGATGTCGGGGGAGGTATTGATCTTGCTTGACAGTCAACCGCCTTTTGGGAGCATTGACCTCGATTTGTCGACATGATCTTCTTGCTTTTGTTGACTTCTTGGGAGGGAATCGTTTTGGCATGTGACCGATTCAACTTGCCATCTTTTTTATCTTTCTGACCTTCAGGGGCCCTTTGTAAGCTGACCCGAGCTGTTGGAGTATTGACTCCCAAACTACTGAACTTTGTTTGGAAGGGACAGTTGAAGCCGCCTATGCAGGCTAGTGTTGCATCAACCTGTTTATTGATCCAGGTGCCCTTTCGAGTTTTCAACTGAACTGGATGGAAGTGGTGCCGTAGAACAGTTTTCACGGACTCCTTTTTTTCTTTGGCTCTTTTACCCATGACTTCGTGGTCACGTCTGCCTTTATTTCCATTTTTACTCATGATGCCCTTTCACCATGCCTCATTTCTCTTTTTTAACGCTTTTACCTGTAGCTTCATGGCTATGTCCATCTTTATTTTTCATTTTTACTCGTGGCGCCATTTCGAATTTTCACCGTGCCCAATTTCTTTTTTGTGCATTTTTACCCATGGCTTCATGGCCATGTCCGCCTATATATATATATACATATATAATGGGTGAGGGAAGGCCCCCGTATTGATGGTAAGGAAGGAACAGTGGGTCGAAATGGTATTCTGAGACTCATTTGGGGCTATAAGTGCCTTGGGTGAGACCCACTGGGAGTTGAGGGTGGTTATGGTGAAGGCGCTCGTTCACAATCTTAAACGTTGCTCGATGAGAGGTGAAGGTGCCAACTCAAATCTATGATGAGGTGTGTTTGGGTATTCATTCAAGGGCTCGGATGCTGGATGTGGTGAAGATCTACTGGGGATTGAGTTGACTTTGGTAGGAGCGCCCATTCATGGTCCAGAATGGTGCTTTATGGGGAATAAAAGTGTGTTGAGTTTGGTGATAGTGGGGTGATTTAATGGTGACTATTGAAAGGTCAGGATGATGTCTGAGGTGGAAGATTGACTCAATTGGGGAATGGAGGCTTGTTTGGTGATGGTAGTGATATGGAAATTTGTCGGGGAGCGACAAACTTGCGAGATTTGTGGCTCCTTTGGAGATGAATTGTGAGGTGTTGTACTTGGGTCATGCCTCACTGAGGAGTTGGTGGACCCCCGTGAGGGCGGCAGTCTCATGGTAGAGGTAATAAATAAAGTGGCATTTCATGGGGATAGGTGTGGTGTGGAGCTTGATGGTTAAGGTAAAAATGGAGTTTGATGGGGTTCAATGGGTGTTCAAATGGAGGGTGATAATTCAAGGGGTTTGGGTGGTTTTAAGGTGATGTGTGGTTGAGATGTTTTGAAGGGTGAGGCTTTGCTGGGGGGTTTAGTGGAGGTGGGTCGGCCGAGATATGGTTCCAACAAGTAGACGAAAAACCAAAATTTGCACATCATAAAAATTAACCACATTGCGAGCCCTGAACGGCCTTCGAGCCGGGCCCCGGTCGTGACTTTCTGTATATCAACCTGAAGTTCTTCGAGTTACAGTTGAAATGCACTTGGTTTGAGCCCGAGATGGACAGATGATGAGTTGTGGCAGAAAAAGCAGATTGAGGTCACATTGATTGCAACTTGCATGTTCATGAAAACTTGTGATATTCTCTCTAAGATTTCTTTCGATCTGGCTGATCATCACATGCATGGCATATACCAAAAGAAAGTGCTCGGCGAGGAGCACAACATATCAAAATTTCGGCTTGATCTACCTCGCAGATCAAAAGATACAAAGGCCCAAAGTTTGCACATTTTTGGGGGAAAGTTGCAGGAATTTTTTGTTTTTCTCAATGAAGATAGACTGCAAATCCTAAATAGTATGCCGCCCCCCCCATTTTTGGAAAGTAGGGTCTCTGGGTGCTCGCTTGGGATGAAATTCGGGGGTCAAGAGTTTTTAGGCCTTCTGAATCCATCTGTGATTGTCCCGAGACTGTTGGAGATTAAATTTTAGGGGTTTTCACTGTTTGTCCGTTATTTATCTGTACTGTATGGTACCCCTTATCTTGACTTACCTGTTTCTCTTCACTTCAGCATCCAATTAAGTTTGAACTTAGGGATGTCTTTTCAGGCAACAGGACCCACCTTTGCGTTTCTTTTGGTGCCATTTCGGGTTCGTTTGTGGGCTTTTCAAGACATGGGCCTTATGCCGCATTCCACGGCAGTTTGGAGTCAAAAAGACCTACATATGCTGTGGTTTTATTGGGTGCACTCTCGATCGTGGAGAAGTGACGGTCTCACCATTTTTTAGCACAATTAAGTCTTGAACTGGGGTTCAACTGTGCTTCCTAAGGTTTTTTGGGCGTATTTGGTACCTAGAAGCTGCAGATGCTTCCAATGCTTTTGTTGCTTGTTTTTGGGTTTTTTTTGGGTTTGGGGGGGGGGGTGGGTGGGGGGTGTTGTGGGGTGTTATGCGTCCAAAATATGTACAAACACTGTCATTAAGGACCTTGAGTTTGAGACACATTTAGGAAAGTAACATGTAAATGTAAGGCATGCTGCATCAGAGGGTGAATTGTTTGGCTGAAATTAGTGGATTCTCACCAATGACCTTAGCCATCTTGTCAGCTGGTAAACAGTTGCAGGCTTACAAACATTCAATTGTTTTGAAGAACATATAGTACTTTACAACATTTGATTTTTGTATTGTTTTCACTTGAATTGATTAATTGTATGAAAGCATGGTTTTTTTATAATTATGAGTAAATATAAATGCAAATTATATCTTGCTCTGTTTTCCTGCACAGGCAACACACATTGTGAGTAAGCATGAATAAACTATTGGAATTTGGAAGGAAGGCAATGTTTGTAGTAAGAGTCCTTACTGGATATGAGGAGAGAAGACTTAGGGCTTACAATATGCAGCTCCGAAAACGACTGCAGCTGGTATGCCGTTTTATGCCTTTGTAACAGTTGGGTACACTGCCTGTCATATTTTACATTTTATTTAGCTAGATTTGTTCTTTTTAAGTTACTTGGAGATAATAGAATTGTGTGGATCAACTGATATGGAGCATGGCCAACAGTATTTCTAGGAGATTTTTACCGTCAAAAGTGTTTAGGAGAATCTACTATACATCCATTCCTTTGAACCGGCCAGCTATTTATAATTTATTTTGCAGTTAGCATGCTTTGACACCCAAGTAGGGATCAAGTTCACTTTCAGGGTGGTTATCCATCCGCAGAAGGCAGTGGTTCTCTGGGGTTCCCCACACAACCATGGTGTTTTCCTGTAAAATATTTGCTTTGCCAATTCTCGTGTGCCTCTCAAATTGCAAATCAAGCTTAAGCTTAAGATAGATGGTGCAGTCAATCTTCCCTTTTGTTTTATCCACTGTTTTATGGTTTTCCCTGCTGACTCTGGCTTATTGGTTATATTTTCCTAGTTTTCTCATGGTTTTTTGACTTTCCATGCATTTGTGGGGCTTGGTTGGGCAATACAATTTTTCACATTTCTTATTGTTTCGCATTACATTTCACCGTGCAATTTTCTCTGTGTGTTTCTCAGATCCTGTACTTTGTTCATCGGTCCATGTCTAGCAGCTCTCACCCATGTTGCATGAATTTTTTCTGGAAAAGTCTTGCCTTTTGAGAAACACACCCAAGTTTGCAAAATTGATTTGCTGCATTGCATGGATACTGACATGCTGACCAAATCAAGACAAGGTACAACTTTTATGTATCGCAGATATGGAGTGCCCAGTCAGGGGTTGTGATAGCCCCTCGAAATCTTGCTCTGGTGATCCCAGAGCCTGAGTGAAGGTCACAAAGCCCCAACCTGCCCCCCACCCCCCCTCTTTTAAAATTTTTTTTGAATCCGATATGTTTGATATTTTGCTGCTTTTTTTACTTGGACGATTTTCTAGCTAACAACGAACTATGAAGGTATTTACTTTCCATTTTCCTTGTCGTTGTTTGCATCAGTAGTTGAAAATTGGTGAGATTACTCAGAACCGCTCGAGTTAGCTCAGACATGGGAATGGGGTAATCCAATCCTTGATGGTCCCAATTGGTTAAATGTGTTTTCTTGAACCAGGGTACCGTGCGGTTCTCATTGCACTAAATCATCCTCTTTCACATGGTTCACTGTAAGGAGTCATAGACAGTCCTAAGTCCAGTTGTTATCATGACTCTTTACAATCTCATTTTTCTCAAATTTTAAGTGGACTTTGAGGCTAGAGAGTTTTCATTATGCATGTATAGATATTGCTAAAAAGTAGATAATACATTTTTCAAGTTTTTGAATAACTACCATGTATGTGTGTGTGTATGCATAGGTGTGTGTGTCACTTCCCAAGTGTTCCCATATTCATAAAAACATTATATTAGCCCACTCCTTGAACAACGCTTCCAGGCACTCCCATGGTAGGTAGCTTCAGCCATGGGTCAATTGGCTCCCGCTTCACTGTGCCTCCTACACCCTCTCTGGCCCTCAACTACTCTCTTATGTAGATGTTATTCCTAAAACAAATGTATACTTGTTATGGACACTGCACATGGAAATTCTAGCCTGAGAATGCGTTTTCATCTCAAATTATAAAATGTTAAACTCTAAAACTGGTTCAACTCAAATAGATTTATAAACACATGAGAATCTTAAAAATGGACGGTTCCGATAATGTGTTGCAAGATGCAATATTTTTGGGACTCGAAATACTTTTTTTTGTTTTTGCATATTCATATATCTTGATGTTGAGATGATCAATTGAAGGGTTTTCCAATATCAAAACAGTATTTTCTGATGGATTTTTGAGATGCACATTAATTCTACATTTTAAGGTTGCAATCTTTTTTTTTTTTGAATGTGATTCTAAGGTTGCAACCTTATATAATATTTTTGCATATATTGGATTATATAATATGTTACACACTATATATTATACTAGTGTACCAAGTAATAAATCTACCTGGTATCAGAAAAACTCCAATATATTTACCAATTATTGAACTTATGTTTGTGAATTATGCATGTAACTTAGCTAAGGCCTATGCTTTGCTTACCAGCACTAAGGATTTGCCCTTTCTATTTTGGCCACCAGCTTTTTGTCGAGGGAGATTGTTTGAATGTAACAAGATTTTCCGCAGAAGGTGGCTATGTTTCTGGAAGATTGTTTGTCTTATTGTGCACATTCTTGGTTTTCCAACAAGAGGCTGATAATCAAGGGGTTTATTGGTAGGGATGACAACGGGCCCGGCTTGGCCGAGCCTGTGTTGGCCTTAGTCCCTATAAGGGTGGCCCAAGCTTGGCCTGACCCTGACTGGGGCGAAGAGGCCCTGGCCTTGTCAAGGCTGGGCCAAATACAATCCCAAAAAAAAAAAAGTGAGACTAAAGTAAATGAAAAAAGGGCCGGGCTAGGCTGAACCTGGCCGGCCCTGTCGTGACCTTGGCCCAAGGCCCTGTCGTGACCTCGGGCCATATCATGTGGCCCAGCCGCTTGTTTCTTAGGGCCTGGCCAGATCGCCTGGCCCATTACCACCCCCTTTATTGGGATTAACCTTTTGTTGAGATAGAGTTTATATTGATGTCTCAAGATGTTGCCTTCATCTTCTGTGTCGTGTGCTTTGTTGCTTCCTTGTACTTATCTCATTGTCTTAAAATTCTACCTGTCCTTCGAAAAAAAAAAGAGGAAACCCATGTGCAACAAGATGCGAAGTTATATAATAAATTATATATTTTGCAATATGTATGTACTTCAGATTATAGAAAAACCTTAAAAATGCCTATAGGCGAAATGCTACAGTGTTTCACCACCGCCACAAACTTGCTATATCCGTGGCAGTCAATTGAACGGACCCAGTTCAGCGTGATTTTTTAACATGCTAGGTCCGTGGCAGTCGAAAAACGTATGCCGCCTGATTGTTTCGGACGGTGATGAGCCTATGGGCAAAAACACTATTCATTTTCTCCCATAGGCGTTGCATAGTGTCTTCCTTTAGGTTATTATTTTGCTCTAGGTATGCAACATATATGTGCTGTAACTGCAGCTGATATATTGACTATCATAATACAATACCTAGGTGACTCTGTAACATACCTCTCTCTAGGAGAGCACTGTTACCTCTGTTCTTATTTATTTGCAATTTTTTTTTTTCCAAGACCCTTCTCATTTTCAGCCGTCAAAGGAAACTTTTATATTGATAAGAGCAGTGGTGAAACCATCTCCTCGAAACCTGCGCATATTTGAATCATAAAGGTGATATATAATCATAATTTGCAATTAATGGCATCCAACGAGACTAAAAGAAAGGAATCTCAATTATTTGTTCATCTTGGAAAAACGACATGAATTTCCTTTATCCGGGCATTGTGGAAAAACCTATGTGGCCAATTACTTGCAAACTCTTTGTTATACCATACAATACAATTCGACTTGTACCCCTAGCTGAAGTTTAAACTTGTATTATCCTAGAAGTTCAAATCGGGAACCAACACTCATCATTGGAAATTGTTTTCTGTTCCTGGGAGCTTCAGGAGACTTGATTCTAAGGAGATAAACAACACTTATTTACATTTAATATTGTTGCTTGAAATGATATCAAATGACTGTAACATTACATTTTCCTGTACTATTCTTCTCCAAATGGGTTAATTATTTGTGCATCAATTAGCGTGAATCCATCGCACGTTTTAAGAATTTCATAGGCATTTTCCTTTTGAAAGCATAATCTCCTCACATTCTTGTGCTATTTCACAGATGCTAATATGGTTTTCATAACAAAGGATTGAACCGTTGAGCAAAAAGAGGAAAAAAAAGAAAATATAATAAAAATCGAGGATTGATATAAGCAAGCCTGGTGGAATTTGTTTGTATTGAATCCATTTTGAACCTAAATTCTTGAGACATCCGTTTGCATTTTCAGTATCTATATGTATTAAGAGTTGGAATCACTCTCTCTCATATATATTTGTGATTTAGGCTCAAGAAAGAAAGGAAGCCTTGAGAAGGATGCCAGAACAGTCAATTCTAACAGAGGTTCGTCGCATGGTTGAAGAGATGCAAAATGTCAACCGAAAGTTGGACGAAACTGTGAGACACATTGCACGATTTAGTTTTTATCATCACTTCCCAATTGACAACTGCATTTAATGGGCATCTTTGTTTGCAGGAGGCTGCCATCGAAGAATATTTTAAACCAATAGACAAGCAGGCCGACCTTCTAATGAACAAACAGCTTGAAGGAGAGGAAAGGAACATGAAAGAGATGGTAAAAATCATGCAAGAAAGGGTTTTACAAGAGGCAGCTGAGGCAGAGAGGAGAGCCAACGCGGAGATGACAGAGGAAGCAACCATTATTGATGTTAAACAACAAATTAAAGAAACAGAATCAAAACCAAGTGAGAAGGCATCTGCAAGAAGTCCATGATATAAATATTTCAGTGTTCCTGTGAAATAAATGGTTTCGCAATGCAATATGAAAGAGGGCCAATGGTTACTACTCGTCAGCTGCTGCTATTCGAGCTTCAGATATTGTGGGAAAACACCAACTGCCTAAAGCATCAAAGCCAAGAGGCACCGGCCATGTTTCTATGGATCTTGAAAGGATGAGGAGAACTTTTGGCATCTTTGTTCTTTGGAATGAGATCCATTTAAATGGAAGTGGATGTGGAGACGGACCTGTTACGATCATTGTTAGCAATTTGTGATCGTACTAAATAACTGCTTAAAAGGTTTTTGTGCCAGCACAGCTGCGGTTTGACATTATTTCGTTTTCGGTTTTAGGTCGATTTGTGGTTTCAAATAGTGAAGAAATACTACTTGTTTATTTTTAATTTTTTGTTATAGGATTCTCAAATGAATAAGAGATGGTGGTAAAGAGTCTACAAATAGCATAGCAATTGTGGGAAATTAAATAATATATATATAGCACAGCTGTTACTATATTATAAGCCAAAGTTGAGGACTCCTTTACAGAGGACTGGCATGAGTGAAAATATTTATCAGGGAATTTTTTTTATGCGGAAAAACTGATTAGGTGGGAGTTTTTTTACATCCATTAGTCCCAATGTATTATTTCATATCATTTGACAACCAGTTGGTGTGAAAATACTCTTGTAATTAATTACATGATGGAGTTTTTTCATGTAAAAATGTTTCCCGAGAAGTATTTTCGTACATACCAAACATACGGTACTTGACCTCTTAAAATAAAATAGAGGCAAGAGAGGGATGTGATCTTGGGGGTGAGAGTGAAAAAGGCATGTAGGAAGAGAGTAACTTTAGGAAAGGGCATATATGATTTTAGAAAGGAAAATTGTTTCGTGCGGGTTGCATTGCATTCCTACATATGCAATTTCTACATATGCGGTCTAGAAAGTGTAAAGCATCAATCTTAAAGATAGATGCAAGTAAATAGGTGTTCCATCTCAAAACAATGGAAACTAACCGTCTACATGTTTTTTTATTAGAATTATTATATTTAGTTTTTATAATTTATTTATTTTTTTATATTAAAAATTAAGTCTTAAAATCCATCTCAAAAATAGATTTATTAATAGGCCTGTATTTCTACATATGCGGGGTTGGCCGCATAGAAACTAGGTTTTTTTAGAAAAGGTGAGGGAGATAGATGTTTAGAGAGATGATGTTTAGCGAAAAATAAGAGAAGAATTTTTTTTCTATTAATCAGATGAATATTACCTTCTCTCTCAAGATTTTAAGAGCATCTTTCAATTCAAATCTAAAAAAATAGAGATTTACGTGTGTAAGTGAGAGGTTTGGAGGAGAAAAGAATGATTTTAAGAGCATCTTTTAATGCAAATGTAACCAATAGAGATTTACGAGTGTAAGTGAGAGGTTTGGATGAGAGAATGAGGGACATGATTGAAAAAAAAGACTGCTGGGGGGGATATATTATATAAATCGTAGAAAAATCTCTAAACTTAAACGACTGCCACTTGAGAAGGCGCACTTGCCTAGTCTTTTAACCCAAGGAAAATCTCTAAACTTTAAAATTGCATCTTTTGAAAAGTGGTGTGCCCTTGAAAAAACAAACGGCCTAATCTCTCATCATTATGAAACTCTCCAAAATTGAAAAATTGCTTCTCTTGAATACTTCCGTGCCCCCTAAAAAAGCAAAGTGCCTCTTTTCAAAAGTTGCCTGCCCATTAAAAAACAAAAAAAAATCTATATAGAGCCGAGGCTCTAAACAATCAAATTAGCGCCCACCTCAAAACTTCCACTAGAAGAGGTTGTTTTGATGCCCAATATCCTCAAATTGATCATCTTGACATCAAGATGTATGGACGTATGACAAAAATAGATTTCAAGTTTTGGAAATAATGCATCTTGTAACTCATTTCAGACCGTTAATTTTCAAGATTTTCAAATTTTCATAGATCAGCTCGATCTATACTATTTGTGAAGCTTTAAATTTTATAATTAAAGATGAAAATATATGTTAAGACAATTACAAATATTTTAGTATTGAAACCACATTTCTCGACACTATTTGAATGTGCGCTTTACTTTGATTGTTTTGAGCCTCAACTCTATACAAGTTGTACCCTTGGCAAAAGTTCATATAGAGTGGAGGCTCTAAACAATCAAATAGCCTGCCTCAAAAATTTTATTAAAAGATATTGTTTTGATTCTCAAATATCCTCAAATTGATCATCTTGACATCAAGATGCATGGACATGAGAAAAACTAGATTTCAAGTTTTGAAAATAGTGTATTTTGTAATGCATTTTTAGATCGTCAATTTTCAAGGTTTTCAAGTTTTTATAGATCTGTGGATCTATACTATTTTTGAAGCTTTAAACTTTATAAATAAAGATAAAAATATATTTTAAAGTTGTTACAAAAATTTCTAATGTTGAAACCACATTTCTCGACACTATTTGAAGGTACGCTCTAATTTGTTTGTTTAGAGCCTAAGCTCCATACAAACCGCACGCAAAAAATAAACACGGTTCAAAAATACAAAACCCTTGTGCTAACCTTTTCCAAACTCTTCAAAAACGAAGAATACAATTCTTTTTTAAGTCTCCTCGATTCTCTCTTTCCTCATCCTCAGTCTACAGTCACACATTCTCTCTCTACTCCCCATGTCATCCTCTCTTTACTCTTTTTTTTTTGCATGAACTCTGTCTGCTAATTGCATTCTCTAACATCCTCTCACTCTCATTGCTCTCAATAACATCTCAATAACATGGTAAAGAAAGGGAAAGGTTTCTATATTTCCTCTACAGCATGCAAGATTTATGCTTTCCTTACCATCCAGTCGTCCAATTTTGCTCAAGTAAGGCACTCACCGTTTGATCTTATGTGTAACATCTCATAGTATTTTATTTTAATTTTTTTTTATAGAAATTGTATGAATATGAAATTTTTTATGTGCCATCTTCTCATTGGGGCGCATCTATAAAAAATATTACAAATATTTTTTTGACAAAATATAATGATCAAAATACCCCTTGAATCTTTCAAAGATATTTTGATCATTTTATTTTATTGAGAATATGTTTCTTATATTTTTTACAAGTATGAGTTTAATAGAGGATTGGACTCGTAAAATTTGGCATTAAAATATTTTATAGAAAAAAAAATAAAAATAAAATAGTGTAAAGATGTGACATTGTGTGATTGGGGCAATCTTAGCCCTCCAAAAGGCTGGATAAGGGGAAGTCTATAAGTTTTATGTTACATGAGAAGCATTGAATACTTGCGCCAAAAAAAAAGAAGAAATTCATGTTACAAAAGCTAATTTCAAATCCGTGCTGACAGTACAAAGGCTATTGAGAATGAGGAATACTTGAACAAAATAAAAGTCGGAACTACTCGAACAATTTTGAGATATGTTAATGTTAAACTTTTAAATAAAAACCCACTTTTCGTTTTAAAGAGAAAAGTGGGTTTTTATTTTAAAAATCTAAAATTAAAATTTTTACGAAGAAAAATATGTAACTGTTTTGAAAAAAATTGTAAAACTTTTTAATGCTTTTATAAAATGTAAAAGCAATTAGAATTTAAAAAATAAAAAAACAAATATATTTATTTTTTATTTTAAAATATAAGAGAAAAATAAAACGAAAAGTGCCCAAACACACATGCATACAAATATAATGTATGTATGTTTTCGATATGATTTACAAAAAAAATATTAAAATTTAAATAGCGACACATTTTTAGTTGTCTGATAAAAATATAATGGTTGGGAGTCAACCTATATTACTATTCATTATAGGTGCAACCTATTGGTAGCTTTTTCTCTATACACATACACGCACACACAAACACAACTTTTTTAATGGCTTCTACTTCTTCGTAACATAATAGTACTTTTATTGTTTAAATTCAAAAAGAAAATTCAGAAAATATGTAAGAAAAAAAGAAAAATTTTATATAAGTTTGACACCTTTTTAAATTATGGAATTAAAGTGCACATCAAAAACCATCGAAAAAGTTGGTTTTGACATTGGAAAACTATCTAATTGATAATTCCAAAATCGAGATATGAATATAGAAAAAGAAAAAAATCCCAAATCTCAAAAATAATATCTCTTGCAGTACATTCTCGGACCATCCACTTTCAAAATTTTCATGCCTTTATAGATCTGCTTGATTTGAACCACCTTTGGAGTTTAATGTTTTATAGTTAGAAAAAAAACATATTCTCAAGCCGTCTTTCAAATTTTCAACACCAAATTTGTATCTTATAACAAAGTTTGGAGGTGCTCTGATGATTTAAGGTTGAAACCTTATACAAAAAAAAAAAAAAAAAAAGAAAAGAAAGAAAGAAAAAGTACAAATATAATCCTTCAAATTAAAAACAACATTACTTTTTACTTTCTCCCCAGGAAGAGGGCAGGAGTGTTCTCCAAGAACACATATCCTATTCCATTTATGAGAAATTGTTTCCCCAAATGCAAAATAACATAACTTTTTACTTTCTCCCCAGGAAGAGGGCAGGAGTGCTCTCCAAGAACACGTATCCCATTCCATTTATGAGAAATTGTTTCCCCAAATGCTAAGGTCGGCAGTGTTTTCGGTAGCTAAAGCGAGTGAATTAGAGATGACAGGCAATAGTGAACCCACAATACGGAGGGGTGTCACCAATGTAAAACTCTATTTACAAGGAATAGCGGGATTTTAATAGGTCACACTCGCTCTAGGGGACCGATCACTTTAACTACAAGGCCATAATTATCCGATCTCAAATAGTTGGGAAAAGGCATCGATGACGATAATCACTTTAACTACAATTTTCAAAAAATTTCGTAAAGGCTCGAACAAGCTCAGTGTCTGTCAGTGAGATATTGGTGTGGTCGATTTATTGCAGACAGCAAAGAATACATGATCAATACATGGCTCAAAATGCAGGAATATTGGAAAACCTGCAATAGGCTAGGGAAGATGGAATGATTTGGAAAATCATGGGAAGTGGAGAATTCGCAGTGGGATCTTTACATATTTTTAATTCACGAGAAAGTATATGATGAGACTATTTACTTTTGGTACAAAGTGGTCATAATTAATATTGACTATTGGATGTGAAATTGGGTGGGTGAATTTATTTCATTGACCAAGCTCAAAGTTCAATTATTTTTTTTCGAACTTTGTGACACACCTAAGCTATCAGATTTCACATCGGATAGTTGTAAGTAATTGTGACTTCCCTATACAAAAGGTATAGGGTCTCATTGCAATCCCTTAACTCGTAGACATGGGCCCTCTGATAACATCATGAACATTGTGTGGGTGTAAAATTCAGGATTTTGGTTGGGTTCTCGGCCTCGAAAAACTTATCAAGCATTGGATAATATAAAAAAGAGAGATAAGATTATCTTGAATATCTATTTGATGAGTAAATGAGATGAGGAGACATGTGAGGACCAGTTTGCACATTGTCCCTCAAACAGAGATGTAACATTCTCTCCAA